GAAGAAAAAAAAAGAATTATTTTTATTTATTTATTTATAAATAAGAAAAGAATAGTATATTATCTATACTATTTTTGTATAAAATTTCATATATTTTTTTTATATAGTTATTTATAAATAAGCAACAAAATAAAAAACCATTTTTTAGTTTAAGTTAAATTTATTGAGTTCAATTTCATTTATACTATTTGTATAATTTATTTATTTGAATCTGATCTTACTTCTGTAAGAGATCTTACTTCTGCTACAGATATCACTTCTGTAACAGATTGGGGTTTTCAGTGGCTTGTGAACTTTAACTCTAACAAAACTCAGTTATTTACTGCAAACAAATTTATAAACATTTATCCCTGTATGGAATACTGTTGTTATATATATATACATCTTTGCTTCCAACAACGCTGCAAGCAACCACTATTAGAGTTGGAAGTTACTGGAAGAGAAAAGATGAAGATTGTATAGTAAGATAACGATTGACAGACAACTTAAGAGATTGCAAATTATATGGAAAGCAAGATGAAGGAAGCGAGTTTTAAAGAACTGATGTTTGAAGAAAAGAACTAGAGGAATAAGAGTTTTTGGAGCATTTAAGAACAGTCATAGAAAATAGATGAGACTTAAGAAACACCTAGTCCTTTAGAACAGTGTCTATTATAGTATTTGTAGAAAAGAGAAAGAGAAGCAACATTGCGACAATGTAATAATGATTGGAGGTTGACTGCAAGAGCAGGTCCAACTATGTTTACAATATCTTTTTGCACTTTGTCTAAAAAATAAGGGCATCATTAGAAGATTCGCCCCATGATATGGCAACAATATTCAATAAAAGGCTGCATTTGAGATTTACAGAGATAAAGAATAGAATCCGGAGTAAGAAAGTGTTGAGCTCGATAAAGAGATGCAACCTTAGCAGATGCTAATTTTGCCACAGATTTGATATATATTTCCAAGAAAGATTGGAAGTAAAAGTTGATCCTAGAAGATGAAGGGTAGACGACTCATCAAGATCATTGCCTTTCATGAATATAGGAAGATCTAAATTATTGCGATAATGATTGGCCAAGAAAATCTAGATTTATCTGAGTTAAAGTTCACCAGCCACTGTGAGCCCCATGCTGCAGCAGAGGTGAGATTCTTTCCAAGCTCATATGCCTCCTTTAAGCGATCAGAGACTGTTGGCTTCTTATTGTGACAAGAATAAATGGTTGTATTATCAGTGAACAACGCCACTTTAGATGTGAAAATATCTGAAAGATCGTTATTGTAAATTAAAAAGAGTATAGGGCCTAGAATTGAACCCTGAGGAACCCCTGAGATTTCTGTTAAAGAATCCGGAGGTTACTGTTAAAGAATATGAATAAGAGTGCTTTTAAAAGCTAAAATTAAAAAATATAAGATAAAGGTAAAGATAAGATAGTAATCAATATTATTAGATAATATTAGCTGAAATAGAAAAAAGAAAGTTAGATTGAAAACTGAAATTACTGACTTTCGAGGACAACTTTTATACTATAATTAAAAAAAAACAGTTAACTTTTAATTTTCAAGGTTATTATTTATGTTTAGAAATACAGTGAACACTTTTTTAGTAGTGATTAGAAACACAGTTAACTTTTTTCAACTTAACAGTTAAAAACATTTAAAAAATTTTTATATAAAAATAGTTAATTTTAGTGCCCAGTGCTCCTACAAAATTTTGTGTTCTTTTTTCCACCACATCGAAATTGAAACTTAGCTCGGATGAACCTTTGGAAAAAAATGGTGTAATTATAGGGTATGAACTCTCTGTTGAAGGTATAATGGTATTTCTTTATTTTTATGTTCGAACTTTTTTTTTCTTTTGAAAAATATAAATAATAACATAAATATTGAAGTTAAAAAAAGAAAAATCAATATTTCCATGATTTTGCAATATTAGTATTAATATTTTTGTTATATTTTGTTTGTATATTTTTATTTATGTATATTTTGTCATGATAAATGTGTTATAAAAAAGAAAAACTAGATGAATAAAAGTTTTTTGATTATAAAGGAACAATAACAACAAGATAAAAGCTTGAGCAGCAAGTTGTATTTGTACAAGAGAGTAAGAAATGCAACCTATTAACTATGGACAAATAATACACGTTTAGAAAAATACTTGGCAGAGTTATCCAACTCTATTTTCTATGTGTTTTTGACCTTATTTATAAAAAAAAGAACATTATTAGAAGTACTTGTCTAAATATGACAACAACGTTCCACACAAGGATGAATAAAAGTTCGATAGATGTAGAGAATGGAATCAGAAGTAAGAAAACGACAAGCAAGGTAAATGATGAACTATTGCAGAGACTAACTTTGCAATGATCGAGTGTTTCCATAAGAGGTCAGTTGTAAATGAAGTTTAGAGAATATATTAAGTAAAAAACTCAAAATAAGCGTCTCATTTACTCAATAAAAAAGTGTGTATTAAAAAAACGAGTGAGTGAAAAGAAGAGTGACTGAGTGAGTGAGTCAATATAAAGTATATGCAAAATTAAAATAATTTTTTGCAGTAACTGCTCTTATCTGTCACAGAAGAGAGATCTTCTTCATGATGATTTCATGAAGGAATCATGAAGGAAATCTCAATGAATAAAGGAAACATTATGTAACATAATTAAAAAAATGAAACATGAAGAAAATCTCAACAGATAAATGAAAAAAATTTGAAATGAATAAGTGTGTTGTTTATCACACAATTATTCATTTCAAATTTTTAAATAAAAATTTATTTCAAGTTTTTATAAAGCAACTTAAATACTGTAGTTAGAAAGGAATGATTCAATAATTTTGAAGTTTTTCTGAGATGCATCTTATGAAGATATTTTATTGAGAAAACCAGCATCAAAAGCCTTTGATGAGGTTTTTTGAGCATCAAAAACCTTTATCAAGATATATGATAAATATCATATTTATATATATAAATATAACTTATAAATATAATATAAATATTATATTTACCTTTATCAAGATATATGATAAATATCAAGAGAAACATATCAAGATATCAATCAACCATATCAAGAGAGCAACCAAAAGGCAACAGCCTTGCCTCACTTTATCATTATCTTGTCTCATTGCCTTCTACCTAATCTTTTTATTATTTTGTTACTATGGTTACAAAGAGTCAGCTGTAAAACAAGAAAATTAAAACCATTCATTTCTTAAGTCAGATAGCAAATAATTAAATAATAAATAAAAAATATTCAGGTTTAAATTTAATTTCAAAATTAAATTTTTAGACTCAAGATGAAATTTTAGAAATGTTTTACTAATTACAGTTTAGAAATTAATAATAACAGTAACTAAGCAACAGTTGAAAGAGACAGAGCCATCACTAACAAACATGTCAAACAGCACCTCTAACTTCCAACAAGCAACCACTATTAAGTTGGGAGTTACTAGAAAAAAAAAAGAGTCAAGGAAAAGGTTGACAGAAGACTTGAAAAGTTGAAGGTTGTCTGAGTCAGAAAACATAAAGATGGGAGAGATTTAAGGTGCAGAAAAAAACAAATAAAAGTTTTTAGAGCATGCAGGGGCTGATACAGTAAAAAGATAAGGCTTTGTTGAATTATGAGTCAAATAATAAGTTTTAGTTGATGGAGCTTGAGATGATAACTCCTAGTATTAGTAAGAAAAAGATGCAATTTTATGATCATAGGAAAGAGGCTCAAACTTAGCAGATAGAGCATTTTTAATTTCATTAACAATGCACTTTTGAACTTTTTCTAAAAAAAAAAATCGTAAACTTTGTTGAGTTTTGTTGGAAATTAAATGAAATTTGAAGTTCACAAGTCACTACAAACAATTTGTTACAGAACTGATAGCAGATTTAATATCAATTGCTTGTTTTTAGCCATTGAAAAGTGAAGAGTTTTTGTCAAGGCTGGAGTATAAAGTTAAATCGTCACCAAATACTTTAGATTTAAGGTTGTCATGACAACAATGAAGATAAGATAAAAAACAAGAGTAAGGATTTTTGACTATTGAAGTTACTGGAAATGAAAAAGAGTTCTTTTTGTTGGCCATCAAGGATTACATTAATAAAGCAAATAAAAAAAAAATGATTTGATAATTTCAAAATCTTTTCCAGATACACCATATGAAGCAAGCTTGTACGAAAGACCTGCACTGAAGACCTCCAGAAATTTTAAAAATTTTATATGCCACCGAGTGATTGGTTAAAAATCTTGCTTTTATAAACAAAAGTGAAAAGTTTTATATGTTGTTTAATATTTCATAATATTTTAATAAATAAATTATACTTATTTTGTTTTTCTTAATAAAAGAAAAAAATTTTGAAACTTTTTAAATTTACAATGTTTTTAAAGATAACAAGAAAGTTTTGCCAAGTGTTGGCTTATACTTGGTAGTATCTTACCTTATATTAAGTTATTGAATCCTTTGACAGACAACTTTATCCTTTAATTTGAGTTACTACCACATTGAAACAAGTTTTTATCCTTTGTCCCATGTTGTTTCGTATTTACCTAGGTACCTCCATCCCTTTTTTATTATGATTACCCCTAATTCTGATACCTTCTTCTGATTCCTGATTACCTCTGATTCTGATACCTCTATCTCCTGATTACCTATGATTCTAATACTTCCATTTCCTAATTCCCAATTACCACTGATTCTGATTGATATTTTGGTTTTAATTTTGTGTTTTTTCAAGGAAAACCAATAAGTATATTTTAAAAGACGAAAAGTTATATAATGACACATCTACAATCTTCAACTCAGTACAATTTTGAGGTATTGAGATCTTCCAACAAATTTTTTCAGTTTAGTTTAATAATAAATTAACAATCAATAAAATAACTGTTTCATTTAAAGTTTTTTAACTTTTTGCTTGTTATTTGTAACTGTTTGTTGGTTATTTTAATATTAGTTTTATACTAAAAAATAAAAAAAAATGTCCTCAGCTTACATAAAGTAACTTGATTAGATATATAAGCAGCCATTTTGTTTAGATATGCGCTCTAACTAGTGAAGGAAACGGATTAGCAGCTTATTTGATAGGAACAACAAATACTCTTGGTATTTTTTGTTATCATTATTTTATACATTACACAAAACACATTAAGCATAATTTAATATTTTGAAAATGCATCTTAAAAGCAGGAAATAGGCACTAGACATGGTATAGGGTACAGGCACTAGACATGGTATTAGGTACCGGCACAAACACGGTATAGGGCACAGGCACAGACATGGTATAGGGCACAGGCACAGACATGGTATAGGGCACAGGCACAAGGGCGGGGTAAAAACAAAATCTTTGAAGTAAAAGTAATTTTTATTAATTCATTTAAACTGATTTTTTTTGTTTTTGAGAAGATTAAGAACTATTATATGGTTAATCTTTAATAGTACTAAAATATAAGTTTATTTAAGACAAACATAGTATAAAATATTATTTAAGTTTGATAAATACACTGTGTAAGGAAGGCAGGGTGGCCAGCAGTCTTTAAAAACCTGGAAAAGTCCTAGACAAACACATTTTAGCAATAATTTTTGGAAATCCCGCAACTTTTTTTTCTTAAATAGTTCAATATTTCATTATCATGTTTTTATTTTTTACAGAGTTGTTATTAATTTTGCATAGATCAGGCTGTCAAGTCGTCATTTTTTTCATTTTTTTCATTCTTTTTTTTTTCTTTATTTTTTTTCATTTTTTTGTTAGTTTTTGTCATTTTTTCATTTTTTTCTTGAATTTTTTACACTTTAAAGTTTTTTTTAAATGCTTAGAATTGCTGTTTTTGATATTTTTAAGTTGTTTTAGACATTATGTTACTTAGTTTTTTATTTAATTTTCAAAACTATTTTATAATAACAGTTACAATCTTTTATGTTCACATTTTAATTTTAATTATCCATTTGTATTGCTAAATTGGTGTTATTATTTTAAAAAATAAATCATTCTATAGTATAGAACTAGTAAAGTTAGTGATTTTTATATTTAGTTTTTAGTATATTTATCAATAGATTATATAGTATAATGGTTAAGTGGAATGATGTGTGGTTGGAAAAGTTAGATAAAAATCTAGTAAAAATCTAATTATGGGCTGAAAAAAGAAACTCTGAATATGCTATCTGTAAACTATGCAAAAGTGATTTAAAATTCAGTTCAGTTGGTTTCCAAGCACTATATCAGCATTCTTCAAAACCTAAACATAAGTCAGTGTCTGATCTAAGATTTTCAAAAACTGCTCGTCAATTATATGTAGATTCTAACAAAAACTCGATTGGGGGAGAAAACGTTATACAATTAGAGTTCTCTATAAATGAAAAAATTTCTGCTGCAGAAGCCATGTGGCTTTTTAAAGTGGCAGATAATGATCTTGCTTTAAGACATTGTGACAACACACCAATATTGTTCCAAAGAATGTTTCCAGATAGTAAAATAAGTCAATGTTTTACTATGAGTCGGCAAAATCTTCATATATTTTGCAAGATGGCCTTGGGCCATTGTTGGAAAAGCGTTTATGTAATAGTATCGCGTTAAGTCAAGGTGCATTCACTTTAATGTTTGATGAAACAACTACTTCACAACAAAGAAAACAAATGGATCTTTTATGTCGTTTTTGGTCAGAAGACGAAAACCAAGTTGTTACAAAATATTTAACATCGCTGTTCTTTGGCAGAGCAACAGCAGAAGATGTCAAAACAATGCTAGCAGATTTACATCATAATGAAAGGTTTTATTTACCATAGGATCGTCTTTTTAATATTTCAGCAGATGGTCCTAATATTAACAAAGCCATTTGGAGATTGTTAAATGCTGATCTTCATAGTAATGGTTTTAACGGCTTGTTACCATTTGTAAGTTGCACTTTTCACACAGTGCATAATGCTTTTCGAAAAGCAATTAATGTTGTCGGTGAGGATGCTGAGCAGCCTTCATTTGATTTACATAACTTGTTCAAGGTAATGATTTGTGTAATTTTATACAGTAGAATCCCATTAATTCAGACCCTGGATGAGTTGGATTTGTACTAAGTCGGACAGATTTTCAATTCCCTTTAAGCTTTCTGTACATACAAAAAGCTTAGCTTATTTGGACATTCACTAAGTCAGACTATTTATCTATTACCTGTGAGAGTCTAACTTAACGGGATTTTACTGCAGTTAATACTAAAAAAGAATTTTTTATTTTACCTATGAAGTTATTTTTCTTACATTATTATTATTTTTTATTGTAATAGTCTATTATACAACTAGCTAATAAAGTGTAGTGTCTATAATTTTTTTCTGTTTTAGAATGCACCCTGTAAAATAAAAGATTTTAAAAAATTATCAGATTGCATTTTTATTGAAGATGAAACATTGTTTCTTCGTTTTGTCAATACTAGATGGCTCACTCTTTCTTCTTCACTTATAAAGGTTCTATTAAGGTGGGAAGACACCAAGAAATATTTTTTGGAATATATTCCAAAACAAAAGGAGTATAAAAAGACACTGACAAACAATAAGCGTTATATTCGAATTCAAAGAAGTCTTAGGGAAACTGAAAATCTAATTAAAGTTATTCTTCTTATTATTTTTTTTTGAATTATTACATATAATAGAGAATTGATTATTTAGGAGTTACTTGTGTCCATCAAATTCCTTATTGGTTTAGCTCCCTTGTTTGAGAAATACTTGACAATATTTCAAGATGAAGGACCACTTGTTCATATTTTATTTTATAAAATGAAAAATCTTTTAATATCTTTAATGAAACGTTTCCTTCAACCGACTGCTGTTAATGGAAAGCTTACTAAAGATCTTTTAAAAATTGATTCTTCTGATTCAACTATCCACCTTGGTTTGAATAAAATGGACTTTGGCGAGGAAGCTAAAAACCAGGTAATTTTTGATAGGTACACATTTGCTACATTTACCAGTTGCACATTTACTATCTGGTTAATGTGTACTTGGTAATTATGTATAAGTGTACTAGGCAATATAAACTATTTTGTTTATTGTATTATTCATTAGGTATTTTATTATTAAAAATTAAGTTTTTTTATTCATTTTCATTGATGCAGATTTTCAATATAAATATGTTTTAGGTGAACAAAATATCATGTGAAAAAAAAAAGATTTGTCTTCTTACAGCAAATGAGAGATGGATATATATCTGTTGTAAAACACTTGCAAAAAAAACTTCCACTTGATTTGCAGATATTAAAAGATATAACTTGTTTGGGTGCTCAAATGAGATCAGAACCTTGGACTGTTAATGCAATTGGGCGAATAGCAGTTAGAATGCCACATGTAATTACGGAAAAGGAGGTGAATATTTAAATAAATTTATATTAAATAACTGTAATAATATATATATATATATATATATATATATATATATATATATATATATATATATATATATATATATATATATTACATATATATATATATATATATATATATACATAATATATATATATATATATATATATATATATATATATATATATATATATATATATATATATATATATATATATATATATATATATATATGTATAAATATATATATATATATATATATATATGTATAAATATATATATATATATATATATATATATATATATATATATATATATATATATATATATATATATATATATATATATATATATATATATATATATATATATATATAAACATAATTTCTGATTTGTAAATTAAACTAATAATAAGTAAATTTTGAAAATTTTAAATAGTATAAGTATTTATATTGTTAACATAATCTACTATATAATTATATAAATAGCAGAGTACATTAACCATATAAATATATTATTTAACATTTTCAAAATTTACTAATTATTATTTTAATTTACAAATCAGAAATTGTTGTTTGTAAATTATTAGTTAACGAACTATTTTAATTTTAATATAATTAAATTTTCCTTTAATTTTAAATGTTAACACTTTCTCCATAACAATTTTATCTTAATTTTTGTACAGGTATCATTTCTGAAAGATGAATGGAAATTATACCAAGCAGCTAATATATCAAAAGACTGGTATATAGATTTTGATACAAAAAAACTAAAAAGAGTAGACCATTATTGGGCTAAAGTTTTTGAAAGTAACAATGAATATGGAAAAACAAAGTATGGGTATCTCAGTAAAGTTGTTAAGAGCTGTTTAATAATTCAGAATGGAAATGCCAGTGCTGAGCGAAGTTTATCTGATAACAAAAATACATTAACTCCTGAGAGAGTAAATCTAAATGATGAAACATTAATGGCTTTGAGAATATCAAAAGAATATGCAAGAAGTTGCAGAGGAGCATATAATGTTGATGCACTCTCCAAAGATTTTGTTCAAGCTGTTCAAAATGCTCATAAAATATATAAAAAAAGAAAAGCTGAAGAAGACGAAGAAAAAAGAAAAAATTATATTCATGAGCAAGAACTAATGAATAAAGAAAAAGAGCAGAAAGAAATGCTTGAAAAAGTTGAAAATCAAAATAAAAATTTAGATCAACAGGAAAAAAGTCTAAAGAATGATGAAAAAAATGCAGATCTTGAGTTTCAGCTTGCTCATTACTTGTTTCAGAATGCTCGATGAAGCAGCAAAATCCATGCAAAGTGCCATTATTAAGGAAGACATAATGGGTATAAAAATTGCCCATGAAACGGTAAACAGCGCAAAAAGAAGTCTTGAAAATGCTACATCTCATAGAAATGAACAGAAAAAGTTGAGAGAAAATATTGGTTTAAAACGTAAAAGTGAAATGGATAGATTAATTAAGCGTTGCAAAAAGTTAAAGTAGTCGTTAAAAGTTTGAAAGTTTTTGTAAATATAAAAGAGCTTGAACTGTTAGTTCAGTTATAATTATTTAGCAAAATTTATTTATTTATGTTAATTATTTTAGACTTTAGAAAAAACGTTTTATTCTGTGTTAAACAACAAAAAGATGTTGAGGTTTTCATTTTTAAAAGAAATTATTGATGGCGGATGATTTTGTTTGTTATTTTCAAAATAAAATTATTGAACTTTTCATTTTTATGATAAAATCAGTAATTTTTTTTCATTTTTTGTCATTTTTGTTCTCAAAATACCGTCATTTTTTGTCATTTTTTTTGAAAGTTGCTGCTTGACAGCCTGCATAGATTTATACTGAATTTGATAATTATGTATTTTCTATAATGCAAAAAAAAAATTTAATGTTACTGTTAGTATTATTAACATCTGTTATATAGTTATTTTTCATTTTCATATTTTTTCTTAAATCAAAATATTTTATAAGATAGTATTGTATAAGTTTTTATTATTAGATTATTTTGCACCCTCACCTCCTCGATTACATGTTCATGGTAAAACAGAGATTTTTATTGAGTGGGATCCTCCTAAAAATCTTCTTGGCAGATAAAATTATTATGAACTTAGAATGGATAACATGGTTTGTTGTTTTTTTATGTTTTTCTACTTTAATTTGTTTTTAGTTTGAAATCTTACAAGAAATTCTCTGATTCTTAGTAACAGTTGTTGTGACATGAATTATAATTTTCTGATAGAAAAAGTAATTTTTCATTTAACACGGAAGGTGTGAACACAGAGGCTATTAAAGTTTTTTTGCTAATCATGTGAGGAATTTTATTGTTACTATAGTCTTTGCTTATGCATGTTTCTTTATGATTTTTGCCATCATTTACATTCTTACTTATTGTTGTTGTTTTTTTATTTTGCTCACAACAAAAAGCCATATTAAGATTAGAAGTTAACTGTGAAGCCAAAAGTAGTAAAGTGAGTTAAAGAAAAGAAAACTATTGACTGTAAATGAAAAACTGTTGATAGAAGACTGTTAATTAAAAACTGTTGATAAAAGAATGTTAATTAAAAACTGTTGATAGAAGGGTGTAAATTAAAAACTGTTGATAGAAGACTGTAAATTAAAAACTGCTGATAGAAGTCTGTAAATTATATCAGGATTATATTATAGTCAAGAAAGCATGAAGAGATGTGTGATTTTCAAAGTTTGTGATAAAAACTGTTTAAAAGTTTTTTAAAACAGAAAAGATTACAAAACAAGATTAAATTGAACAATTGAATCAGGGAGCAGAAGCAGAGAATTAAATCAGGAGTAAGAAACTAGTAAAAAAGGATTCATTTTATTTAGGGTTTCAATAAAAGATCAGTAGTAAACAATAATCCAAAGAGACTTATTTTAGAGGCCTCAATAAGAGTGTTGCGCTAAAAGAATATAATTAATAAAATAATAATTATTAACAGTAAAAAAACAAGTTCAAAGAGTCTTGTTTTCCAGCGTGCTGCAAAGCGGCATCTGTTATCCCCATTTTAAAAAATTCTTGAAAATTTTGCAGAGCGATCTGGAGAATATATTCTGGAGAGTAAACTAACAAGCAACCTAATCAGTCTGACAACCATCTCATTAGTCTTATTCCTATCATAAGCAAAGTTCTTGAATCTTTAATTAAAAAACACTTAATCAAGATGAGATCTTGAATCTAATAACTTACTTTCTGATCATCTATAAGGGTTTTGATCTTCTCATTCTACAGCTGATTTGCTAACAGTAATAACAAATAGGTTTTATTGTGCATTAAATTGAGGTGAAGAAGTTAAGACTATCATTCTTGACATTTCTAAAGCTTTTGATAAAGTTTGACATGCTGGTCTTCTCAATAACTTTTTTTCTTACAATGTATCAGGTAACATCTTTAAGATTTTTGAATCCTTTCATTCCATTCGTAGTTTAAAAATAGTCCTCGATGGACAGCACCCTTATTCATATGCTTTTTGTTTTTTAGACAAGGTGCAAAAATAAATTGTAAACATAGTTGGACCTGCTTTTGCAGCCAACCTCCAACCATTATCACATTGTCGCAATGTTGCTTCTCTTTCTCTTTTTTACAAATATTATAATGGGCACTGCTCTAAAGAGCTATCGATTTTTGTACTCAAATTCATTGTGTTACTTTGTCATTTAGTTAAGTCTCATCCTTTTTCTGTGACTGTTCTTAAGTGCTATAAAATCTCCTATTCATCTAGTTTTTTTCCTCAAACATCAGTTTTTTGGAATTCGCTTCCTTTATCTTGCTTTCCTGATTTATACAATTTGCAATCTTTTAAGTTGTCTGTCAAACATTATCTTGCTCTACAAACTTCATATTTTCTCTTCTAGTAACTTCCAACTCTTATAGTGGTTGTTTGTAGCCTTGTTGGAAACAAAGATGTTAAAAAAATTTTTTTTTTGAGCTCTTTGTATACTTGAAGCCCTTTTTCTAATCCTTATGAAAAACATTCTTAAGCTTAGATTAGTTTATTTTTTCTAAAGTCTAATATAATATCATATTGCTGTTATTGCACTCTTTACTGATTAAAGGAAATCAGTTAATAATTTTTAAAGTTTTAAATTTAAATTGATATTTATAAAAGACTTGTTTTCATTCTTCTATTTAGCATACCATTTTATCAATATTGTATTAAAACAAATCTATGTATTTTTTTAAACCTAACTTACAAATACTTGTATTTGTATTTGGAAAATGCCAATTACTTATATTGGTACTTAATTTGGACATCTGAAATTAAAGTATTTGTATTTGTGTTTGACCCCTGTGTATGATTATTAATTTGGTGTTTCATTGCTGATATATTGATTCTGATATAATGAATGGTTGATAAAAAGTTTTATTATTTTAAATTTTGAAATCTGCAAAGTCATTGTCAAATAAGTGTAAAAGTCGATATGGCGGCTTTTTTATAACTCTATTCAACTTCTACCTCTAAAAAGTTATTTTTCGTTGTTGTTGTTGTTGCTGTTATGTGTGTTATGTCGTTGTGCGTCTTGTATTAATAAAAAATAATGCATTGCAATGCTAACTTTATTGGTTTCTCTATCTAGTTCTAACCAGATTTAGATTTTCTATCTAAGGGTTAAATTTCTTTATCTACTCTTAACTCGGTTTAAATTCTTGATTTACTATTAACCCATTCGGAAATTGTTGTGATTTGCCTTTACTTACAACAGGCGAAGTACTGCGCCAGTATTGGCTGTCCAATAGTTGGCTGGCCTGCGCAGACAAAGTACTGATTAAAATGTTAGACTACTGCGCCAGTGCTAAAAACTAGTACGGGAAGTAATCCCTTAGTCCAGTGCTGGCGCAATACTGAATGCCGGGCCTTGAAAAAAGATGTGCCAGAATATTCATACTCTAGCACATGTCTTAATTAATATTCTAGCACACAGAAAAAAAATCTGCCAGAATATTTATATTCTAGCACATGTCTATATATATATATATATATATATATATATACATACAAATAGTATTGCGTACTAAAGTAAGCAATCTGACGTCATACTGAAATAGCCTGCTGCTGGGGGCTTCAGTACATACATCGACTGACAAATAGCCTGACTCGCAGTGGAGTGCTGCTACATCGACTGAGGGTTTGGGATGGGGAAGCAATCGTTTTATTTATCATTCTTCGTTTTTTTTTCTTTTTTTTTTGAAAAAAACGGTAAAGCTCAAGGTAAGCAGAAAAAGTGAGCAAATGCTTATCAAAACACGTTTTAGTAAGTGTATATATATATATATATATTTATATATATATATATATATATATATATATATATATATATATATATATATATATATATATTATATTATGTTATATTATATTATATTATATTATAATATATATATGTATATGTATTATATATGTTCAGAACTTCCTAAGAACTAAGCAACTAAAAATATTTTCTTTTTCAGAGCAATTAGAAAGAACTAAAGTGCTTTTTAGTTACTTTAAATCACTTTATTGTTTATTTTTGGTAATTGGAAGAGTTAATAATAATAAATTTTTTTTGAATATATTGATTGATTTATTTTACTTAATTTTGATAAGAAGATTTATATAATATAAAAAGTATGGTAAACCAGATCTTTTTTATTACTTTTATCTGGAACCCAATACAGTGAGATAAAACTAAAACTAAAAAAAAAATACACTTATGTCTTTTTAGATTTTGTTAATTTATAGTTTTCAATAAGTGGGCATCTGTCAAGTATGTTTGCAGTAAAACCACTGGTTTAGGATCCCCTTCCCTTTATATGCACCTGTATGCATTTAACAACTCCCCCTCTCTTTCTGTCTGCACATAGCATTTATTACAAAGTTAGTTCCCTTCTATTACCAACGCATAAAATTTTTAAAACATTAAAAACATTTAGTTAGTTTTACATATCTATATTACATAGTATAAGAATGTTTTTTTAAACTCATTGCTTTTGTTGAAAAAAAAATTATATTATTTTAAATGTTTTATTTTAAAAAAAAAAAATTTTTTTTCAAAACATTTTTTCAAAACCGATGCATAACAAGAGATAGTCAAACATCATATGTACTGGTTCTCCCTCTCTCTCTCTCTCTCTCTCTCTCTCTCTCTCTCTCTCTCTCTCTCTCTCTCTCTTTCTTTCTTTCTCATGTACAAGTTATACCTGCGTACGTACTTTATGGAAGACCATTAAGTATGTTTACATATGTATCACATGTTAATCATTAGTCAACAGTTTTAAAGAAACTGGAATATGTTTACAGTTTATAAATTGTGTTTATACAATATATATTTAAAGTTTATATATATTTATATTCTGTTCATTCTATGTTTTAATAGTGGTTTTACTTAGCGGTGTGTAGAGCAAGATTGTTATCCTTGTAACTTTATTTATACTTTTTATTATACTGTTCTTTCTTCTTTTTTTTGTTTATTACTTTCCTAAAATTTTTATATTTTATACTTTTTTATAAATTTTTTATAAAGATATCATAATTGTAATCTTATTTTTTTTACTTGTCATTGTTTTATTTTTTACTTGTCATTGTTTTATTTTTTACTTGTCATTGTTCTATTTTTTACTCGTCATTGTTTTATTGTTTGCTTTTCATTTTTTTATTGTTTGAGTACTGTTATAACTTATAATTATATATAGATAAATTTGTATTTTAATATATTTTTCAGATATTATATCAAGTTTAATTATTATTAATGATTTATTTACTAATAGCCTGTATTACAGGTTGCTTACTGCTAGTAATAATATTAATATATATTATAAAATAATATATATGTATTTGCTATCAAATATTTAAAAAAAGAGTCTTTTTCATTTATAAACATATAACCTTTTAGATAACCTAAATCAATTATACTTTAAAAAACTTTTGATAAAACTTAATTTTAACTTTTAGTTATATTTAGTTATACTATTTTAGAATAATCCAAGACATGGCTGCATATAGACAAAAGAAACATTGTCATTTTAAACAACAAAAAGAAATAAATACTTTCTATCCAGAGGAAAATTTATCTGAATATTTAGACACTGCGATTGATCCATCTATTGAAATTGATACTTTGAGTAATTTAGTAACATATCAATCTGAAGATACTCAAATTGATGTTTCTGAATTTTCTGAATTTGATTCATCTTCCGATTCATCTATTGATTCAGAATATTATTCTCATACATTTCCAGCTGATAGTTTTTCAGATAATGAACCTTTTCATCAGCAATCAACTGATTTAATAGAAACCAATTGCCGTGAAAAATTACAGAAATGGACTGTAGACCATCGAAGCCATTTGACTGTTGAAACAGTAGAAGATTTGATAAAAATACTGAGGGTAGAAAATATTCCTAATTTACCTAAATCTGCAGTTACATTGATGCATACAAAGTCAAATAAAAATATAAAATTAATGAATAGCGCAAAAAACACAATTGGATATTTTATGTTTCTTGGTATAGAACAAGGCTTAAATGATGTTATTACTGAGGATTATACTGATAATGTTATTCGTTTATTATTTAATATCGATGGTTTGCCATTTTTCAATGGTTCTAATCAATAATTTTGGGCTATCTTGGGACTTATTTTGCACAATGAATATAATTCACAACCATTTATAATAGCTGTTTGTAGTGGGGATTCTAAACCACAAAGTATAGATGTTTTTTTAAAAGATTTTGTCTCTGAAGCAAAAAATTTAGTTTTAAATGGAGTAACTATTGGTCAAGTGACCTTTAAAGTAGATGTAGGTTTTTCTTGTGACACACCTGCCAGATCATTTATTTAAAAAATGTAAAGGACATGGTGGTTATTATGCATGTGAACATTGTGAGACCAGTGGGACGGCAATAAATAAAAAAAGAGTTGAAAATATTAGTGAATTTTATACCCAAAGAGTTTCAAAGAAAAAGATTACGTAATACACTTACCTTCATGATTCATGAAAAAAAGATTTAAAATACATTTGTTGACTTTATAATCCCATCAATTATTATTGTAGAATTATCAATTATTATTGTAGAATACTAGAATGTTCAATGTAACATACAATAGAAGTTTGTTATTTGAATATCTATATTACGAGTAGCGTTATAAATATATCTTTATTTGGATAGCATTATAAATATTTGCTTTGAAATATTTTACCTTTAGATTTTTTTTTTCAGATTTAATAAAGTTTTAGTCTGAAATAATCATTATTCAAAGTAATTTAATTCTTCATTATTTGGTAAAAGTAATTGTAAATTTAATATGCTATTTTTATAAGGTATTTCGTTAATATGAATCATCTGGCAAGTACTGCTCATGTTGTAGTTAAATTCCTTGAAAAAACATGGAAAAAAAAACATGGAAAAGAATGTATTGATGTCATTCCTATTTTATGGGTGTATTATGAAAAAGTCAAATTATTCTGTAAATACCCATCTGAAAACGAATATCATGCGCTAGAAAAAATGAGTAAAATGTAATTAATACCAGGAGTTTTGTGGAAGAGTTTTGAAATTGTTTTAATTAAAGAAGCAAGTATGTAATGAAAGTCTTTGTGTATTCAATTGTAAATGCATTATAACTTAAATATTGTCATATATAAAGATATTTACTTACATTATAGAAAGCTATGAACAAGGATTGCGACGTATGATTAGGGCATGCTCTGAATTTGTAGTTCAGAGCAGTAATTTTGAAGATTTAAACAGTTCAGAAGAAGAATCTGCTCCTGTTAAATTAAGCAACTCTGAGCTTAAAGCATCTTTAAAAGATATCTCTTCGTTTAAAGGTATGACTTTAAGTTTATATAATTTTTTTATTCCAATAAAATCTTAAAACATGATAAAAAATCAATAGAATTATTTAATCTTATTACTGTTTTTTTTGGTTTTTTAATGATATCTATATCTGATCTGTTTTAGAGCATGAGTCCTTTGTTTCCTTTAAAGTAAAGAAAAGGCGATTGTCATGTTGTGATGAAGAATATAATGATTCTTTGTCCTCATCTCCTAAAATAAAGACCTATAAATGTAACCCAGAGAGAAAAAACCGTATGTTTTCTTTAATCGAAAAAAAATTATAATTACAAATAACCCTTATTGTTGCATACACATAAATGTGTGGAAGGAATTTTTATTATTCAAAAGTTTATTATTTTCAGAAATGATAAAGACTTCCGGTATATCACATGAAGACTCCAAGAAAAATTTAAACGAAGACAAAATAAATAAAAAAGGTAATGCAATATATTTCTTAGTTTACATGTAAATGATATTTTAATATTTTTTTTAATGAAATTATTTATAGATATCTATATCTTGTCTGTTTTAGATCATAGTAAAAGAGTCTTTTGTTTCCTTTGAAGTAAAGAAAAAGCGATCGTCATGTCGTGATGAAGAATCTAATGATTCTTTGTCCTCATCTGCGAAAATAAAGAAGATATTGACCTCTAAATGTAAACCAGGGAAACGAAACGGTATGTTTTCTTTAATCAAAAAATAAAATTATTATAATTACAAATAACCCTTATTGTTGCATACACAAAAACGTTTTGAAGGAATTTTTATTATTCAAAAAAGTTATTATTTTCAGAAATGATAAAGAATTCTAGTGTGTCACATGAAAACTCCAGGAAAAGTTTAAATGAAAATAAAATAAAGAAAAAAGGTAATGCTTTAGAAAAAAAAAAGTTTCTTAGTTTTCTTTCTTACATATACAGACCTTGTGCATGAGCATTAAGCTATTTTTTTTTTTTGTCTTTTTTTCTCTTTTTGTGAGGTCATGAAATTTTTATTTTTTATTTAATAAAATTTAATAAAATTATTTAATAAAATAATAATTAAAAAAAAAATTTGCTAAACTGAAATTGCTTACTGCTTAAAATTGCTTAAGAAGTACGAAAATAGCTTAATGCTTAATGCTTTAAAACAAGGCCTGCATATAAATGTTATTTTAATATTTTTTAATGAAATCATTTCCAGAATTTTGATCATTGCTTTCTCAGTAAAATTACAATATTTTTTTAAGATGTGATTAAGACAATATTTTTTTAGATGTGATACTTAATCCAAATTATAAGTATTGCCCTACATGTGGCTGTGCAGGTAAGGATATTGTTAGAAATGTTTTTATCTACAATTCTTAATTTGTTGTAAATAATTAATTTAATTTTCACTTAATTAAGAAAATGACATTATGGAAACTTTATGTTTAAACCACACCAGTGTGGAAATGGACTTTATTATATTATTTATTCATTTATAACATTGAAAAAAAACTACATGATGATAATGTAATAAATACTGATTTATTCATTTAAAATGAATGGTAGTTTTTCTTTACTAATGAGAACATTTATATTTTCATGAAAACTAAAAATGCTCCTGCATCGAAAGCTAATCTGGAATCTGCCAGGAGAAGTATCGAATATCGTATTAGAGAGGAAGCGAAAATCACAAGAGCGTAGTGTTCACAATAACACAGTTGATATTCAAAAAATTATATCCGAACAGACAATTAACGAATTACCATTCAACGATGTAGAAAGCTTCCTTGATTTTGATAATAAATTAAAGACTGATACAGTAATGATGCAAAAACTGGTAAATAGTTTAATACTGATTCAAAAAATGCTAAAAATATTAGTCTTAAGTCTGCTACGAAATAATGTATTGTTAAAAATTATTTTTATTATAATTAATATTATATTTAGTTATTTAGTATATAAATTTTATATATAGATTAAAATTTTCTTTTTTTAGAAATGCTTTATCATGTTAAATGTGAAAAGTACATCAAAACTTTCGGAAAATTTTTCTTTTATAATTCCTAAGATTATTTTACCAAGTATTCAAGTACCCTACAGTGCTTTTGGGCGAGAATCAAAAGGTGTAAAAAAGTTAAATTTTTCTGGCACAGAAACTTATAGATATTTGCTAGGTATATTTTCTTATTTTGAACTTTAGCAAACACTAATAAAATATTATTTATTTGTAATCTCTTTTATATGTAATATGTAATCTACATATTACATAATTGATATGTAAAGTGTAATTTCTTACTAAACCCCTAAATACACAATTTAGATCTTTATTTTAGAAGTAGTTACAATGAAATTTTCTGACATAAATGAAAAAGAAATTTCAAGTCAAATAAGTCGCTGGTTTTCAGGTGCAAAGGATAGAGATGGTGGAAAGAGATACCGATTATTAAATAAAAAAAGTCGTGAAGAGCGAAAATAAAGACTCTATAAACTCTACAATATTATGTATTTGTAATTATACAAAAAAAAATTACTTAAAAAATAAAAATAATATATATATATATATTTTTTTTTAATTAAAAGATTGTCTTTTAAAATTTATACTATAGTGTCAATTGTGTGTGTGTGTATATATATATATATATATATATATATATATATATTATATATATATATATATATATATATATATATATATATATATATATATATATATATATATATATATATATATATATATATATATATATATATATATATATTATGATTTTAAGACCCTGATAACAGGTTTGTCGCGACAGCGACAAAATCTGATAGTGAGCTGATAGATATGATGGTGATAGATAGATAAAGCGCGACAGCGCTCAATTTTTCAAGAAATTGCTATTTCAATATTAGCTGCTAACAATGGTTAATAACTAGACAGTCAGTACTGGCAAAGCGTTATCATTCCAGATAAATGCCAGTGCCGAACCAGTACTGGCTGCCAGTATTAGACATTACTGGCGAAGTACTGCGCCTGTTGTGAATTTTTGATTTGGCAGTAATACGCCATTACCAGATGCCAGCAATGGTTAAGTTCTGGACATCAAGTACTGGCAAAGCGTTATCATCCCAGATAAATCCCAGTGCCGAACCAGCACTGGCTGCCAGTATTAGACAGTACTGGCGCAGTACTGCGCCTGTTGTGAATTTTTGCTTGGGAAGCCAGTTTTGATTTTTTATCTACTTTTTGTTCGGTTTAAGTTTTTTATCTACTTCTAACCCAGTTTGTTCTACTGGAGATTCCTGGTATCGAAGTGGTTTGATGTGTTATTTGAATATTCGATAATCAAATTATTTGAATAAACATTTTGTGAAAAGTTCAATTAAAATATTAAAGATAATCTGATAACATTTTTTAATTTTGTTGATTTTTGAGTCGTGCACTTTTTTTGCAAACGAGTTTTTGTGGCATAAACATTAGAAATAAAGTTTTATGATGGCATCCATTAATCATTTTTATTATTGTTATTAAAAAAGTTCGGAAATAAGATAAAAATTTAAATTTTAACTTTTTTTTTTATTGTAGCTACATCATCTTCTATTTTAAAAAGAAGAATCTCTCTCAAAGAGTAATTTGAATCGCGATCCAACGAATTGTTAGTATGCGACTATATGCAACTTGTAAAGTTAAAAAATTTTAAGTAAAAATAAAAATGACATAAGTGTAATTGTTAAATATATGTAAATAATATTTACAATTATTTATATAAAGTTTATGTTTTACAAAGTTTTTTTTCGTAAGATAGTATATTGCAACTTTAAAATGTTTTAAAGATGGTGATGAAATTCCAGCAAAAAAAAACAGAGAGAAAAAAAGAGTTTCGTTCACAAAAATTCATAAAACTTATTCCTTATAGACGCTATACAGCTAAATTAGGAAGATCAGTTGAAAATAGTTGAAAACCAATTCCAAATTCATCAGAAATTTGATTAAAACAAACTGGATGAAAGCTAATTAAAAAACAGTTATCTCAGGGCCGACAACATTGGTTTCTTCATATCAAAGCCGACAATATGGGTTTCATCTATATATCTAGAGTTTTCTTTAATAAAAAAAGGAGGGGGAGGCGGTGTCGTCGGCTCAGCAGAGAGCCGACGTCGGTTATCTGCTGGTCTGACAATCAGAAATAAGCATAAGGGTATTGAGAGACAAAAAATGATAAAGAAACGGCACCTCCAACAACTTTTTCCAATGAACAGTTAATCCTGCTGAGGCGCCCTGTTAACAGACAAAAATGATTGAGTTTATAGAGTTAGTTTGAAAGAGGTCCCACCTAATATAAGGGCTTTTCCAAAGTGCATGAGGGGTTAATTTTTTTTAGTACATTTTTCAAGGACAAAAAACTCGCACTAAATTTTTACTTATATCATACTTTATTGATAAAGAAATTAAAATTAACTAAGACTTCTATTTTTATGACAAATGTAAAATCTCATTCTAATAGAATATTTAGCTTCCATATACTTTCCAGCAGGATTTAGCCTTCAAAAATAACGCAAAAACGGTTCAAAAGGAAAATTTCTCGTGTTTCATTCCTGTGTCAAAATGGCTCGCCAACTGTCCAGATTTGACTCCTTATGTTTTCTTTGCATGAGGTTATTCGTGTTGGAAAAACTAAAAAATGTAAAATGCAATAAATTAAACGATTCTAAGGATTTACTAGCCAAATTGTGGGGTGAAATTATTGACGGTATTGTCTATTGTGATCTCGCATATGTGTTCTAAAGAAAAATTTGAAATAAATTAATTTTTTATATTAAATATAAATGTAAGTTTCAGAAAAATTCTTAAATCAGAAAAGTGAAAATCCCTTCCCTAATTAAGATCTCAAATCTGAAGAATTGTTATTTAGCAAACACAAAAACTATTAGATATTTGTAAATCCCCTCTCTGTAATATACTTTAATAAAAGCCTTAGGTAGATTTAAAAGCTACTGTTTTTTAATCACTTAGATAGCTTAAACATTTTGTTTTAATTGCATTTTTTTAATTTAAAATCGATAATCCATTATGTTATTGTTTGCACAGCAATCATAGGCATTTACAGTTATTCTGAAAACAATATTATGGAATAAAAGCATTAAACACTGTCAAGTGCTATTTTCTGTTGTTGTTTTTATGAAACATTTTGGCCCGATAAAGTAGAGACTGTCATCAGACGTAAATATATTTAAAAAAAAACACTACAAAAAATCTGTGAATTCCTTTAAACTATAGAACAATTATAACCAAAATTTTTTTTTTTTTTAATTAGAAAAACTTCCCCGTTTATCAGATAAAATAAAAACCAGAAACGTTTGATTTATCATATACTGTGCTTTAACACACGATAAACGATTTTATTTGTATCTTAGTCATGAAATAAATCTGAAGAATTGTTTCACACAAAACTAATTTATACTGAAACTTTAGAGAGAAACCTCTTGCCCAATTCCATGTTAAACAAACATTTTTTGTTTATTAAATGAAATTGCGCATAACAAGAGGATTTTTACATTACATAACAGTGATTAGAGATATCTTCTAATTAGGATTTTTAGGATGTCCTACTTCTTTTCATTCTATGATTTCTTATTTAATGTTTTAACACTATAGAAATTTTGAAAATTTTTATAATACCACTATAATAAAAAAAATATTTTTAATACTATTAATGTTTTGATATAATATTAGTATTATAAAAATTGTAAGCAAATTTTAAAATTTCTTTAGGTCTGTAGTTTTTAAAAATAAATTAAAACGCCTATTTCATTTAATTTCACCTAAATAACAACAACAACAACAACAACAACAATAAAATGTACAAATTTATTTTGAAAAACTACATATTCAAGCGGAGGAAAAAAAATTCATTTAAAGGAGCAAAAAAAAGCAAAAAAAAAAAGAAAAAAAAAAAGTTGTTTTTGCCCACTATTAACTATAAATCTAATTTTGCCGACTTTAGTATCCAATTTGCCGACTAATAAAATTTGTAGGGGGGCTGTGTATGTATATATATATATATATATATATATATATATATATATATATATATATATATATATATATATATATATATATATATATATATATATATATATATATATATATATATATATATATATATATATATATATATATATATATATATATATATATATATATATATATATTTATTTATAAATATCACACCCTAGTGGAATTTCTTGCGAGTATTTCTTGCGAGAAAAAAGTACACCAGAAACGGATTAAAATATTCTGTATATATATTCTGTATAAAATTTTTAAAAGATATATATAAAATATATATTTTAAAAAAAAAAGGGGGTTAAGCGGGCAGGTCATGATTTTTTGATGTTCAAAATAGGTAACTTCCAGAGATGGTGCAAACTTCAAATTTTGTAACATTGATACTGGTATTAATTTAAAATGTTTTACAAAAAATTACAATGATAGGAGAATAGGAATGACTGGGAGCAATATTGACCTGAAAAATCAGGACCCACTGTCCCAAATCGGAAAACAAGAAAAAAAAAATTTTTTTTTTGCATTATCTCAAAAAAGATAACAATTCATCGTGAAAATTATTTTATCTTATATATTTTTATACATCTTTATCTTAAAAAATTTTTATGCCCTTACATAAAAAATTTCGTATGGTTCATAAATGGCGTCCAGGAAAAGTTTAAAACCCCTTCTTTTTGAGGGGGTTGTCAACTTTACGAGGTCATAACTTTTGAACGTTAAAATAGAAAGTTAAAATAAAAAGCAACTTTTACAGATGAATTTTAGTCGAGTTCATAATGGAATATTTTTTTTAAGTGTTCTTATTGCTCCTTTCCCTAAAAAATATTTGGAGCTTAGGGTTTTAATTTTATGGAAAGTTTTAAACAATACGTTAATTACGGTAAAAAAGCGTTTCCATTACAAGTTAAATGTATAAACAACATTTCTCTGTTTTTTATACTTCCTTTTGGTATACCGCAAAAAAAATTTAATAATAGATTCTATGAACTTTTTTTATCTGCTGCAAAAGTTAATTAAAAAATTTTAAAAATTGTTTAGTATTGCTCATATCGTTTTAAAATGCCAAATATTAAAATTTCTTAAAAAGATAATAGAGCTTTAGTCTGCTTAATTTGTTTTTTAAAAGGATCAAGAATGATAAAAGTTAAAGAATGAAGTGTGACATTGACCAGAATACAAAAGTTTTTTTTAAAATCATTTGATTTGAACAATGAAAACTTTCCTAATGTACATTAAAATATTTCCTAATGTACAATAAAAAAATGTACAATAAAAAAATTTCCTAATGTACAATAAAATAGAATGTTACAACATTTATAGCTATATAAACGTTTCATTAGTTCACTCTTAACAATCTTTTAGATTCATATCGGCTATATTCATTTTTAAAGATAATATATTGAAAACTTGTTTTGAGTTTTATGGCAGCAGATCTAATATTTCATGGGATCTAATTTTCTACCACAGATCCT